GAAAAAAAGGGAGAGGACCCAAATAAATAATATCAGAAATGAAAGAGGAGAAATAACAGCTGATACCACAGAAATATGAAGGATTGTAAGAAACTACTATGAACAATTATATGCCAAGAAATTTGAAAATCTTGATGAAATGGACAAATTTCTAGAAAAGTATAATCTTCCAACACTGAAGGAGGAAGAAACAGAAAGCTTGAACAGACCGATAACAGCTGAGGAAATTGAAGCAGTAAACAAGAAACTCCCGCCACACAAAAGCCCTGGGCCAGGCGGTTTCATAGGAGAATTTTACAAAACATTTAAGAAGAGCTAAACCCTGTCCTTCTCAGACTATTTCAAAAAATCCAACGGGAGGGAAGACTCCCAGTTTCTTTTTATGAGGCCAGCATCACTCTAATCCCAAAACCAAATAAAGATCCTACAAAGAAAAAAAACTACAGGCCAATTTCGCTGATGAACATAGATGCTTAAATCCTCAACAAAATATTGGCAAGCTGCATCCAGCAATACATTAAAAAGATTATCCATCATGATCAAGTGGGATTCATCTCAGGGATGCAGGGATGGTTCAATATACGCAAGTCAATAAACGTAATACATCACATAAATAAAAGACAAAAACCACATGATCATCTTGATAGACGCAGAGAAAACATTTGATAAGGTACAGCACCCATTTATGATCAAAACACTCAGCAAAATGGGAATATATGGGGCATTCCTCAACATAATAAAGGCCATATATGAAAAACCCACAGCCAACGTAGTACTCAACGGGCAAAAACTAAAAGCTTTCCCACTAAGATCAGGAACACGACAAGGATGTCTGCTTTCACCACTTCTTTTCAACGTGGTATTGGAACTCCTAGCCACAGCGGTCAGACAAGAAAAAGAAATAAAAGGCATCCAAATAGGAAAGGAGGAAGTAAAATTATCATTGTTTGCAGATGACATGATAGTGTACATAGAAAACCCTGTAGACTCCACCAAAAGCTACTCAACCTAATAAGTGAATTTGGCAAAACAGCAGGATACAAAGTCAATATTCAGAAATCAAAGGCATTTTTGTACACCAGCAATGAAATAGAAGAAGAAATCTGAAAAAAAAAATACCATTCTATATAGCAACAAGAAAAATAAAGTACCTAGGAATAAATTTAACCAAGGAGGTAAAAGACCTGTACACAGAAAACTATACAACATTGAAGAAAGAAATTAAGGAAGACACAAATAAATGGAAGCATATACTGTGCTCATGGATTGGAAGAATTAATATCATCAAAATGTCCATACTACCCAAAGCAATTTGTAGATTCAACGCAATCCCTATTAAGATACCAATGACGTATTTCACAGAAATAGAACAGACATTTCAAAAATTTATATGGAACCATAAATGACCCTGAATAGCAGCAGCAATTTTGGGAAAGGGTAGAAGCATAAAATGGAGTAATAATAGCCTCTTCAACAAATGGTGTTGGGAGAGCTGGATGGCTACATGCAAAAAATTGAAATTGGATCATCAGCCGACACCATATACAAAAATAAACTCAAGATGGATAAAAGACTTAAATATAAGTTGCAACACCATAAAAATCCTAGAGGAGAACATTGGCAGGAAACTCTGAGATATCCCACGCAGCAATTTTCTCACCGATATGTCTCCTAAAGCAAGGGACATAAAGGAAAGAATAAACAAATGGGACCTCATCAAAATAAGAAGCTTCTGCACGGCTAAAGAAAACATCAGCAAAATGAAAAGGGAGCCGACCATATGGGAAAATATATTTGCTAATGATAACATCAGATAGAGGTTTGATCTCCAAGATATATAAAGAACTCACTTGACTCCACTCCAAGAAGACAGATGATCCGATCAAAAAATGGGCAAAGGACCTGGCAGATGCTTTTCCAAGGAAGAGATACAGAGGGCCCAGAGGCATTTGAAAGGATGCTCAGCATCACTAGCCATCAGAGAAATGCAGATCAAAACCACCATGAGGTACCACCTCACACTGGTCAGAATGGCCATATAAACAGATCAACAAAGAACAGGTGCTGGCAAGGCTGTGGAGAAAAGGGAACCCTAGTACACTGTTGGTGGGAATGCAGACTGGTGCAGCCACTGTGGAAAGCAGTGTGGAATTTCCTCAAAAAGCTGAAAATGGAACTGCCTTTTCATCCAGTGATTCCCCTGCTGGGACTATACACTAAGAATCCCAAAACACCAATTCAAAAGAACCTATGCACCCCAATGTTCATAGCAGCACAATTTACAATAGCCAAGTGTTGGAAGCAACCTAAATGCCCATCAGTAGATGCTTGGATCAAAAAACCATGGTACATTTACACAATGGAATACTACACAGCAGAAAGAAAAAAAGAACTAATAAACTTCGCGACAGCATGGATGGAACTAAAGAACATTATGCTAAGGGAAATAAGCCAGGGGGCGAAAGACAAATACCATATGATCTCACCTATAAGCAGGACCTAACCAACAATACAAAGATGCAAGGAAAATAAGACCAGCAACACTGAAAGGAAAAGAAACCAACAGACAAGAGGGAAGGTGGGGAGGGGTGGGCAGGGGAAAAGGAAGGGAAGGCGAAAGTCAAGGAACATATAGCAAGGACTCATGGACAAAACAAAGGGGAAGGATTGAAGGAGTGGAAGCGGGGAGGGGGCAAGGGAAAGTGGTGGGGGGAAGACAGAGACCAATGTATTTGAAAAAATAAATAAATTTAAAAAAAACAACTTTGAATGACAAAACCTTGCCATTCAAAAACAAGTGAAAAAAATTTGATTAAAGGACCTATACTGAGCATTGGATGCATATATTTATATGGAAGTCCAACAATTACATATATGAAGATGTATACATGTTCTTACGAATTGGAGAAGTGCTATAAAGGAAATAAAAAAAAAGACTACCCCAATTTCTTTTCCTCTAACAGTGTATTACAGTGCCGTGTACTCTCTACAGTACTGAAGTTTTTTCAGTACTTATGCCCATTTGTAAATGTTAACCCTCTCCAAGTCTCTCCTTGACCTCTGTATCAGATCCGGTGGTGTCTTAGACATTAGAATAACATGAGAGTAGCCCAAATAATCTTACTATTTCGATTTCTCTCAATCTTAATAGCTAGTCATATTTTCATGTAGCTTATGCTGTATTTGTCAGTGTGTGTCATTTATAAAATGGAGACTCCTTGAATCTAGGTGATATACCGGGGTCTGTCCAGAAGTTATCCTGCCATGTAATACGGAAAATAGAGACATTTATTGAAGAAGATACAAGGAACATTGTACAAAGGATAGTGATGCCTCAGTGTCCCTCAAAGTAGGCACCTTGAGACTTCACACAGTTCTCCTAATCACTATCAACTGCCATATAATGTTTTCCTAAATCTTATCAACAGTCTAAATTTCACCCCTTTCAAAGGGGATTTTAGTTTTGGGAGAAGCCAGAAGTTGCAAGTTGCCAAATCTGAGCTGTAGGGGGCCTGAGTCACCTGGGTCATTTGATGTGCTGTCAAAAATCTCTACACAAGATGTGATGCATGAGCAGGCACATTGTTGTGATGAAGCTGCCAATCATCAGTTGCCCGTAGCTGCAGCCTTCTGAATCATTCGAATAGCTTCTACAGAGGAATGTTCAAGTTTAATGCAAAATTTGATGCTGATTCATTGTACTCAGTGATTTTGAATGTGACGGCCACCCAGTACACATGCTAACTCAACCGCATCTACCGCCCCCACTGACGAGTACAGTGAGGTCATCATTGTTCACACATGCGCATTCCAGTCCACTCTCCTTGGCTGCCAGGTTACATCAATGTCACTGCAAACCGCTGCACGGTGCAAACCATTTTTGTTATATTAATAATGGCTAGACTCTTTCCAGACAGACCTCGTATAAATATATATTTAAACAACCATTCATTTTAAGCAAATTATAATTTCAGTTAATTGTATTCTCACAGCTTCTCATTAGTTTGTGGCATGCACTCTGGTTACTTTAATTTCTACTGTAACCAGAAAATCATTTTTTAAATTAGATATTAATGTTTTTATCTCTTTATGAATACAGATAAGCTCTAATATTTAGTACCTTTCAGGTACGTTGGTTTATCATTTGAATATTCATTATCATTGTATTGGCTATAGATTTAGAAGCTCTAAGCAAATACTACAGTTTACCTTATTTTCTTAGTAGTTGACTCTCCTACAAAGAAAATACTAGAAAATTCCAGTTAAGTTTTGTTCTTATTATAATTGCATTTCATTTGAAAATTGCTACTTTTTTGTGAAGCATTCCTTATAGTCACAGTCATCCTTAAAATTTATGAAAATAAGTTAAAGTATGTGCTAATGAAATACAAAATCCTAAAATATAGTTGTTGGCATGTCCTGGCTCAGAAGCCATGTTTGGACTGAACTGTCATTCTCATTCTTAAATAAGACCACATTTAACACCTAAGAGCCTTTTATGGTCAACTCGTACTATAGATAAAATAGAATGGTTTTCTGTGACTTCTAAAAACAGTAGGCTTATCTGGTCATTTTGAATTGCAGAGTTCTGTGTAGGTGGTAGGCATATTTTTATGACATGCATCCAGTAGCTTCTATATTTCTTTTAAAACTGAATATAGGCTCTAACTGATGTCATTTTTGACCAAGAGGTTTACATTGGATCTGTAGATCTTATCAATTTGTTTTAAAAACATTCTTGAATATGTTTTAAATAATACTGTGACAATTAGAGATGATGTAAATTGCCCTTAATAAATAAGGGAGCCTGGCTCCTTTAGGGACTCCCTAAATGGCAGGTATTATTTTATTATACATACTAATATTAAGTAGCACTATGGAATTTATAGTGAATGTAGAAACTTGTGATATATGCATAGTATTTATTAGCTCCTCAGAAACACTTCATATTAGGACTCTGCTTGTGACCCTGATGAATCTTTAATACTTCTTTCTTATAGAACCCCAAAACAAAAGAGCAAATTGAAAATCTGTTACGGAATGGAATGAACAAGGAACTGCGAGATCGTCTTTGCTGCCGAATGACTTTTGGGACTGCAGGCCTTCGTTCTGCTATGGGGGCAGGATTTTGCTATATTAATGACCTTACAGTAATACAGTCAACACAGGTAGGTATTATAAAGTATTATGTGTACACTTTTTATCTGTTTTTCTTTTGCCTTATAAATTAGGTAGTGCCTTTCTAAAAAAAAAACAAAAACAAAAATAAAACCTTAGTATCCAGAAGGTACTCCCTTGGAGATAAAAAATGTAGAATACTGACCTTTGAGTTATTTTGAAGTTATTTCTATATCCTCAAGGTCACAGGCTAAGTTTTTGATTAAGAATTATTTTGGTTGCCATTGTCAACTTCTTGACAGTATTACTTTGCACTTAAAACTCAGGCAATGAATATTGACATTTCCAGTGAATACAAAGGAACAAATATAGATTACCCATTTTGGCATATGACCATTGATAAAGATTAACCAGAGTATTTGGAAAATTTAGTTTAAAATATTTTCCTTTCACATGGTTCTCCGTATCCATTTGAGAGTTCTTTAAGACAATGTATGACATGATACCATAGATTTTATTTCTCCCCATTTTATATAGTTTATTTTGGAAACAAATTACTTCTCTTTCCAGTGAATCATCCTCTGCATCAAGGAACTATACTTTATTTGCTTGAAGCCAAAATGCATTTAGCATATACTAAAAATAGTTCTGGGCTAGAGAAATCTTCAGTAGTCATAATTCTAATCAATGCTGCCAGACAGTAAATCATCTTTAGCCTTGTTCTGAGGGAATTTTCTAGAGCCAAGGGCTAATGCAGGGGTTGGGGAAGAAGGGAGGGCAAGATGACTTAAGAGGCAGAATACATACCACCTCCCTGCCCCCATCTCCTCATCCAGAGATGCTTCAGTTCAGTCTTTCTTATGTATTGAATTTCTTTGTAAGCTTTCATTTTAAATGAAGATTCCTTGACTTTACAAAAGGGGCAAAGGAGCTGTTTGAGAAATCATTTCCTATAGAAGTGCAAATTTTTATAGGAGTTGAGTATAAAGTGGAAAAGTCAGATGGAATCTGATTTTTCAGCCCTAGCTCTTTTAAGAATCTAAGTATAGGAGGGTAAGACAAAATGGATTTTCATACTAGAGAATAATAGAATAATGTGACTTTCTGGGAGGTTTTAGGATAGTATAATCATTAGAAATAAGTAGGTGAAACTAGCCAGTTTGGGCATTCTTGCTCTCGCTCTTGCTCTCGCTCTCGCTCTCGCTCTCTCCGACTCAAAGAGAGTAGGTTGGGAAGAATAATCGTTCTTGACAGATCCATGGAAGAAGGATTCAGAAGTCACTGGGGCCTTGTTTGGTGCTGCCACATAGTTCCTTAGCATTGCTTGCCATATAGTAGCTTGTTGTATACTGCAATAAAACACTATAACTTAGTTTTAGTTGAATGAATGGCCTCAGGCAAGATATTAAATGGAACATCAATCTTATTCTGTTTCCTTTTTGAAGAGATGTTGAAAGAGAGACAAAAACAGAAATGGTATTGCATCTCTTTCTTTTCAGGGTTGTTGTCAGGATTAGATTGGCAACATTTGTGAAAGTAGTTTTAAAGAACTGTGACAGTATGAAGTGTTATATTTAAAAATGAAAGTGTTAAGGTTAGCAAATCATCCATAAGATAGTTAAATGGTTTTAGCTATTTTTATGATGTTTTCAGTCATTTTTTCATCGTCCATGGCTGCCAGTATTCCTACTTTATGGGATTTTCTTTTCTGTGAGATTTTAAAACCAAGGAATTACAAATGTGGTAAGCTATCTGATGATGATTTATGTTGCTGATAAAAATGTTTGCGTCATAAATAGGTGAAATCTTTTGGTTAGCTTTGGCCTTATGATTTAGCCAGGCCTAAAATGGTCAAAATTCTGTTCTCTAGAATCTTAAGGCAAGAAACAATGTCTTTTGGCTCTTCTAACAATTTATTTTAACCTACTGACTCTCACGTCCCATCTTCTTATTTTCTCATGTTTTATGTATCGTATTGGGTTTAATAGTTACTTACTTAATATTTCTCTGTGTGAAATGTGTCTGAAACTCCAGGAAATAAGGATTTGTCATCTCACCTTTGAGGACTGGTCTGTATTGTTCCCACATTGGTAAACAAGGACATAATGGCGGAAGCCAGATACCCAGGAGCCTATAAACTGCACACTGCACGTAAAATAACAGATTTTAAGTCACAGAAAACTGCAGGCATCAGTCAGGAACTAATATTTTGTGTTTATCTGCTTCAGGGGATGTACAAATACCTTGAAAGATGTTTCTCAGACTTCAAGCAGAGGGGCTTTGTCGTTGGGTATGACACCCGGGGGCAAGTAACTAGCAGCTGCAGCAGCCAGAGGTACAGTGTTAATTGTTTCAGAGATTAAAATGGATTGGAAAAAAACTTTATTTGTTTTTTCTAGTAGTAGGATTTCTGAAACAGGAAGCTGTCAAACAGAAGTGTGATCACATGCTAATGTTTATTTGAGAGCTAAAATAGAAGAATTTCAAAGATTACCTTTAGCTTTTACAGAAAGGAGTAATGTTTAAGAATATTTAGAGTAAGTATTTAGAATGGTACCATGGCTTATTTTATGACTTTATATTTTGACAAAGACACTGGGTAGGAGTAATGATAGAGCTTGTATTTTCTCACTATAGTTTTATTTGATTAGTTTTATAGTATTTTTTACACATAGATAATCATGATATACTTACACTTTTTTTCAGCAGGTGATTGATTATTCATATTGTGTTTATTAAACTCTCTTATTTAATTTTTCTCCATTCTTTTTGCCTTTTCCAGGTTTATTTCTTAGTAAAAGAATCATCAAAAAATGAATGGGGAAAAAGAAAGAAATTAAAATGTCAATTCTCTTCTTTGCTAAGCTCCTTTAAAAAAAAACCTCACTTAACATTTTGGAGCATGAAGCTTAAATAGCCAATGATTATAAGAAATCATTGTATTCGGCTACTATATATTCAGAATAATTGTAATATGAAACATTTATTGTGGAAGGTTGCTTTTTTAAGGAGTATGGTGAAACTAAGTGAAGTTGTTTTTTGTTTTTTTTTTAATTTTTAGGCTTGCTAAACTCACTGCTGCAGTCTTACTGGCCAAAGATGTTCCTGTGTACCTTTTTTCAAGATATGTTCCTACACCTTTTGTAGTAAGTGTGTTGTGTTATTGATCTTAGAGTTTGCTGCTCTTGAAAAGATTTCTTAAATCAACCAGATTTCAAATATTTGTCTTACATATAGTTTTGTATTAAGTCATAGGAAGTGCAAAGGAAAACAAATGTTACTCTGAAGAAACTGATTTATCAGGCAAGCAAAAAACAATTAAGGATAGATTTGAACACACTGCTAGCATGTTTGATCTGCGTGTGTGTGCATGTGTGTAAACTTTGTATTTAGTGATGGTAGGATATTCATACTCACCAAAGAGGGTCACAAAAGAAATCTCAACAAATACCAGAGAACTGCTTATCAAGCTATAGCCCTGGACCCCAATGCAATAAGATTAGAAATAAAGAAACCTAATGTTGGAATTTTAAAAACACATATATAAGTAATTTATGTATTAAGGAAGATATCATAGAGAACATTAGAAACTACAGGCAATCCTTACTTTGTGTAGTAGCACGGGACTATAAAACCATGCAAATTGATGTTAATAATTAATGCAAAAAGTTGTTCTGTAACAGTTAAAAATTTTTAACAGATTTAGTTTATAGAGTGGGGAAGGGAGGGAGAAAGAGAGGGAGAGAAACATCAATGTGTGGTTGCCTCTCACACACCCCCAACTGAGAATTTGGCCCACAACCCAGGCATGTGCCCTGACTGGGAATCAAACCAGCGACCCTTTGGTTCACAGGCCAGCACTCAATCCACTGAGCCACTGTAACTTTTAAAGTTTTTTGGTTTTCTTTTTTATCAAAACATACTCTTAACCCTTACTATTAGTTAAAAAATGTATAGAGAAAAAAATGGTAAAACTAATATTTAGTACACTGTAATTTAAAACATTGGGAACTAAAGTGTTTTATTCCTTTGTAAAATAATTTATCAAGAGTATGAACAGTGCTTGCTTCTTGTCATATCCCTTAATGACATGAGTGAGCATCTTTTCTATGCCTTAGTGAGTCGTCACACTTCCTAAGTTTGGGTCAGCTTTCCACATTTTATCCTTGGTACTTTCAACATTGTAAAATATCTCTAAGAATTCCTTTTTTTTTTTCTTTTTTTGCTAGTATCACTTCCTCAGAGACATCTTCATCCTTTTCATCATAACTGTATCCCCCACTTTTATCAATACATCCGCCTTCACTAACTAAGCTCATCTGGTTGCAGATTTAGAGTCTCTTGAATAACAGCAGTGTCAACATTCTTAGTTTTTTCTGTAGCTCCATTTATATTTGATTCAAATTTCACTTTTACCATTATTACTTTTTGTGTTTTTGCTCCACTTTGATCTCTGTTGGCCAGTTCTTTCTTTCAGCTATCCATTTTTGCAAGTGGTTGTGTGGGTTCACCACTAGGAAATGAGGAGGTGACACAACTATGTGCTTTTCTGTCTGTGTGAGAGATGAGTAACAGGTGCACAGTGATCGATCACTGACAGACCTTACCAGAGTGACATGATTGGTCGCTGATCATGATGGATCATAATTATCTACATAATGATTGTAGACTGAAGAGCTAGCAGCCAAATTTATACTGAAATTTGAACATGTTGTTGGGAGACTGGTATTACTTAACTAAAATATGGTGTTAGAGCCCTGGCCAGCGTGGCTCAATTGGTAGGATCATTGTCCCATAACCAAAAGGTTGTTGGTTCGATTCCTGGTCACAGCATATACCGCATTTGTGGGTTCAGTCCTTGGTCCAGGTGCATGCAGGAAGCAACCAATTGATGTTTCTCTCTCTCCCTTCTTCTGTCACTAAAAACAGTGATAAAATGTCCTTGGGTGAAGATTAAAAATTTTTTTTAAATAAAATAAAATATGGTGTCAGAAATTCATATATATTGGAACTGTGCAAAGCAAGGACTGCCTGTATTTAAAACTGAGCAAGAATAAATAGGGAAAATTATGGGCTGTAACTAAAGCCCTACTTCAAGGGAAATTTATAGTCCATCAATATATTAGGAAAAAGAGATTAAAATGATGAGCTACGCCTTTAACTTAGTATGTTAGAATGAAAACAGAGTAAATCCAAATTAAGTAAAAGGAAGGAAATAATAGATATGAGGAAAAATCAATTAAATAGATAAAGATAAGAGGGTATCAACAAAAGCATTAGTTGGCTCTCTGAAGAGACTAATAAAATAGACAAACCTTTAGCAAGGATGCTCAAAAGAAAAGACACAAATAAAGAAATTTAAAAGATGAATAATAAATACAGCAGAGACTAAGAAAATCATAATATCCTCAACATATTGCAAATAAATATGAAAGCTTAAATGAATTGGCCAATTTCCTAGAAAAATTAATTAATACATCAAAACTGATAAGAAATAGAAAAACTTGAATAGGCTTATAACCACGAAAGAAATTGAACTGATAAATTTTTTAAAGATTTTATTTATTTATTTTTAGAGAGGGGAAGGGGAGGGAGAAAGAGAGGGAGAGAAACATCAATTGGTTGCCTCTTACATATCCTGGCCCAAGACCAAACCTGCAACCCAGGTATGTGCCTTGATCAGGAATCAAACCAGTGACCTCTTGCTTTCCAGGACGTGCCCAACGAACTGAGCCACACTAGCTAGGGCTGAGCTGATATTTTTTACAAACCTTCTCAAATTAAATATGCCAAGTCCAGGTGATTTTATAGGCAAGTTTTGCCAAATGTTTGAGGAAGAGATGTCTCTATAAATGGTGGCTAGTGATTTTTTGGAAATATACTGAGTGGCTCAAAGAATTGAAGAAATTATTAAACAGTTGAGTCTAATGAATGACAGAAACCAGGGAGGCTCCAGAAATTTAGAATAAATGGTAGGATTCTGCCCCTGAGTTGCCAGTACCGCTTACTGTCAATCCCTGTGTGGCCTCCCTCTCCTACTGAAGGTAGATTTGCTCCAGGTGGCAGGTAAGTTATTTTTAGCAGTGCCAGGTTCATACCCTTTATCACCATGACCTTGAGTTAAAAGGCAGTTTTACTTGTCTACCTGCAGCAGAAACACCTTAGAGAAGGACTGTGACCAGGCTTGCATTCTGGACCAGTTTCTGAATTAAATCACCAGGGGATAGGTTACTCTGCTCAGAACTGGATCATGTGTCCATACCTCCCTGGTCAGGGGACAAAAAGTTGGGTGTAACGGTAGAGTAGGAGGAATATCCTAGGCAGACAAATACTACTACAAAGAAAAAGGAAAATCCAACCTCTAGGAATTAACTTTGGAAGAAGAGATGGTGAGTCGACCTTTATATGATAGTAGAGGCCACAGAGTATATATACAGATTTTCAAATTGGAACCCATGTTCTACCCTTGAATCTCCTCCTTGTATCATCTTGGAGAAACCTCAGTATAAAATGTGATGGACTAGGTGATTTCTAAATTTACATCCAGCTCTTAACATTTAATGATTATATTAACCACTCATATCTCGAGAGTCTAGTGGAGTGTCTGGCATATAGTAAGTGCGCATTAAATATTTGTTAAATTAACAAAATAATTAAAAACATTTATAGGACTAAGTTAAATGAGACTAGGGGGAAAAGCCATTCAGCCTCACAGGTGGTTATTGGTGACCTTTTAGAAATGGGCCCCGCCCAATGAACTGGAGTTGATTGTTGAGATTTTAGGCTATTTATATCTTAATGTCTTGTCCTGTTATCTAGTCAAAGGTATTCTGATGTCAAATGTATGCATAGCCAGAAAGCAAAATGAAATGATGCTCTTACTGTCATCCACATGCAGCCATATGCAGTCCAGGAGCTCAAAGCAGTTGCAGGTGTGATGATTACGGCCTCTCACAACCGCAAAGAAGACAATGGGTACAAGGTAAACCTTGGACCCCTATACTTTACTTATTTATGTCGTTTTTTATTTTGTTTAAATAAGTGCTGAGTATATTTTCTACACCAAGGAGCAGAGCTAGACATTGGAGACAGGAAGATAAAAACGTGGAGAGCATCCCTCACAGGATGGGTATCCCTAATAGCCCTATGGCCTAATGGCTCTCACCATGTACTATCATGACAAGAGTCTCTTTATTGGTCTCTTTCCTTCTAATATCTTCCTGCCCTTGATTTCCCCATTCTATCCCAAATCCATCTTCTCTTCCATTTCAGAAATAAAATCATATTGTATCAAAAACTTGGAGAATAGATGGAGTTTGCAGGAAGCCAGAGGAAGAGTACCTTGATGTCACTCTCTGCTCCCTCAAACCTTCTACCCCCCTGGCCGCAGCACCCCCTGATGTGTCAGCCTCTGTGACGGAGAGCAGGGCGGAGCAGGGTGGTGAAGAGTGGCCCTGGAGGGGCAACAAGCAGATGCATAGCACAGTGTTGAGCCAGTGTGTGGGGCTCCTGGGTGATGGGTCCATGCTCTTATATCTGTTTTTCTTCTTCTGTGGGAGGTCTCCAGGTGCACTGAACTCTGTTTTACTGGGAAAAATAAGATTTAATAGTAATCTAAGATTTTGGCCCTGGCCAGCTCAGTGGGTAGTATTACCAGTTACAGAGGCAGGGAAGAAGCATGATTAATTCAGTTTTGGATATATTAAGTTTAAGGTATTTGGTCAACCAGATGGCAACATCCTATATGCAGCTAGATACATAGATCTGTTGCTCAGGGGAGAAATATGGGCTGATGTTACAGATTTGGGGGTCACCATACATCTTAGAGTATTTAAGAGTATTTGGAAACTCTGTGGATGAGCAACCCAGAGACCGTATATAGTGGAAAAACAGGTCCAGAAAGAATCCCTGCAGAATATTACCTTTAAGAGAAGGAAGAAAGAAGAAGCGCTGGAGATAGGAGGGATGATGAGAAAATTTTGGTGTCACAAAAACCAAAGAGGTAAGAGAGTTGCAAGGAGGGAAAAGTCAATGGTCAAGATTAACCCAAATCTCCCCTGCGCGTCAGACTCCTAAATCCAGCCACCTACTTGCTGTCCACTGGGCTGTCTAGCAGACATCTCAGAATTAGTGTCTCCAGAAGAGAAGTCTTGATTCCCACACAACATGCCCCATACATACCCACATGTGTTCCTCTCAGCCTTCCCATTCCTATAAATTGATATTACCACTCCTTCCCTCCTGACATTTAATCTACTAACAGGTTCTACACATTCTACATCTAAAATATAGTGTGTATGTTCAATATGTTTACTTCTGTCCATATCTTCTACCTCCACCCTTCCGAAGCATTGTTGTTTTCTGTCTGAACTTCAGCGTCCTAGCTGGTCTCTTCCCTGCTTCCATTGTTCTCCCCTGCAATCCGTTCTCCACCAAGTGGCCAGGCGATCTTTTAAAATATAAACAGGTTGTGTTACTTTCCTCCGTAAAATTCTTCAGTGGCTTCTCATTCTTCAAACAAAATCCAAACTCCCTGCCATAGGGCTTATAGGACTCCGTCTCCTACTTCTTCGACCTCGTTTCATTCACTGCTGCCCTGTGCTCACTACATGCCAGTCCCACTGCCTCTTCTTTCTGTTCCTCCAGTTCCTCCAGTGGACCAGGCCCTTTCCCACCTCTGAGCCTTTGTAAATGTTGTTTCCTCTGCTTGGATCGCCCTTCTCCAAATCTTGCACACTGGCCTATTTTCATCCTTCAGCTTCCTGCCCAGATGTTTCTTCCTTGAAAAGACCTTCCCTGGTCACCATATTTGAAGTGGCTTCCCTTAGTGACCTTTTGATCATCTTGTTTATTTTCTTCATAGATTAACTTAACCTCTATCTCCAATTATCTGCCTTCTTTATAATGAATTACCGTGTTTGTTGACAAGTTTTTTTGGCCGCATTCCCAATATAAGCTAATGGATAGAGGGACTTAGTTTTAATATTCAGTGCTTTTGAACATATTTGTCACATAGTAAGCCCTCAAAGCCTTCCTTTTCTTAACATAGAAGTTAGAAAGTATAAAAGTTAAACAGCCTAAAAAGTTAATAAAAATAACCTATCCCATCCCTTTTCCCCAGTATCTCTTTCAGAAATAAACACTGTTTTTTTCCAATTTTTGTTTTCTTCCAGAGATAGTCTATGCATGTATAATCAGATATATTATCATTCCCTCCTTTTTTCCATGAATGGCAGAGTACTATATACAGCATTCCGCATCTTGCTTTTTGCACACAGCAGTATGAAACAGCCTTCGAGATCATTTTCTCCATTGTTCCATTGATAGATAGGTCTGCCTCACTGGTCTTTAAAATCTATATAGATGAATCCTAATTTATTTAACTATTCCTCTGTTGATGAATATTTCATTTGTTTCTGATCGTCTGGTTATAACATATAATGCTATAATACTGTAATGACTGTTCTTCTACATAATCTTTGTTCATATGTGCAAGTAGATTTAGGTAGTCAAGGTAGAACAGTAGTTAAGAGTATGGTTTGGGTTTGAAACCTACCTCTGTGACTCAGAAGCTTTGTGAGCTCAGGCAAATTACTTAATTTCTCTGTGCTTTAGTTTCCCCATCTGTAAACTGGGGGAAATAATAGAACCAACATCATAGGGTGGAAGTGTGGATTAAGGGAGATAATGAAGGTAAAATACTACTACAGTGTCTGGCTCCAATAAATCCTCAATTGTTTGCTGTTGTTATTATTCTTATCATCTATAGCAGCAAATTAATATAGGAAGATTCTATATTTTTTTAATATTATTGAATCTCCTTACTCATGAACAGGATTTATCTTTCTGTTCTTTCAAGACTTCTTTTAGATTCTTTAGTAACATTTAAAATTTTTCTTTAGGTTTTTTTACATTTCTTTTAAAGTTTTATTCCTGGGTGTATTTTGTTGCATGGATTTTTCTTGTTACTCTATCAGGTAGGGATACTTTCTGTTGTAGGTTCAGAAAACCCAGAAAAGTGGCTTAAGCTGATGAGAGTCAATTTTTCTGACATAACAGAAGGCCCGCAGGCAGGTGGCTGCTGGCGTGGTTCTGTAGCTCAGTGATGTCAGGCCTAGCATCTCTGCCAATTTTTTTCTTGGAGAGGGAGCTTTCCCTCAAGTGTGGTCATCATATCATGGTTACTCTATCTCTAGGCATCACATCCACATACAAGGCAAGAAAAATTGGACAGGGAGAAAGGCCAGCATCCTTTTCTCACTTTTCGTAAATGTTCACAGAGAGCTTTCAGAGCTATTGATAGAATCTTTTTTGTGGCATGGACATCCCTTCACAACAATTTTTGGTTTTGCTTTTAGTTTCTGCAGGAACCTTAGGAGTTTCACTGACTAGGAGCAATTTCTGTGTTAATTTAGACCTTAGATTTGAAATTTTTCTTAAATTGCCCAGAATTGAAGAAAAACTCATTATCTTTCTATAATAGTGGGCAGAACTATTTCTATTCTGCATTTCCACTGAGAGGTGCCTCAGTTCCAATCCCTCCTTCCACAACTCAAGAACCAGCTAAATGGACAATACCCAAACCCCAAGCAGCCACAGCATCAGCCCACAGCCTTGTCGCTCTGCTTGTCAATCCTTTCCTTTGTTCCCCGCACCTGGAGTTTTTCCTTGCCTTCTTGTGAACTAAGCTATGCATTTGAGATAATACTTGTTCTAATATCTTGGCACAGAACCTAGTACCTAGTACACATTCAAGTGTATTCTTTCCTTCATTCATGATGCAGTAACAGGGATTCATGTCATACACAGGGTGGAAGTCAGCATAGATATTCTCTCAGCAGAGTCCCTTCTAAGTTTGAGAACCTTAGATGAATTAGAGAAATACATTTTCTTGCCTTTTTCATTACTTTTATTTTAGTATCTGTTGATCAAATTACCTGACAAACTGACAATTTCATTAAATACTGAAATATGTATACTAAAATATAGATGGGATAATTAACATTGTCTTTTCACAGACTTTATTTGGTGTGACATAAATTCTACTTTAATTCAAAACTTAAAATAATTTCATCTTTAGCACATGAACAGAACCACTTTATAATGCTAAAATTTTATGGTATCAAGTTTTCTGGATATCCTATGGTTGCTTAGATTATCTTAGGTATATAGTGAATATAAGAATATGATTAGATATTGTGGTATATACGTATTGTATGTCTTAGTGATACCCTATTTTTATTAAAGTATACTTCTAAAAGAGAAAGAAGAGATGATCATTTTGATGAAGAGTCCCTGTGTAATTATTACCATCAATATACTTTGGTATTTATTATACTAGTTCCATGCTGACATTTTCTATTTGGTTAATTTGGGCTGCTTCTTTATGAAGTGAAATATCTTTACTGTAGCTAAGAAAATATTTGATCAACATTTCAAGTTCTTATAGCTGTATTTACCTATTATCTAGGTTTATTGGGAAACAGGTGCTCAGATCACATCTCCTCATGATAAAGAAATTCTGAAATGTATAGAAGAATGTGTGGAACCCTGGAATGGTTCCTGGAATGATAATTTAGTGGATACCAGCCCACTGAAGAGAGATCCCCTGCAGGACATTTGTAGGAGATACATGGAAGATCTGAAAAAGATCTGCTTTTACAGGTATCCAAGTGGGAATATATAATATTACCTTAGAATAAGAGTAACAAATAAGGGAAAGAAATAGGGATAAAAAGGTATTGGCCGCTTATTATATTTAAAATTATGGCTAAATGATACTATTCGTAATAGTCAAGACGTGTAAATAACCTACATATCCGTTGATGAAGAGGTAAATAAAATATGGTATATCCATACAGTAAAATATTATTCAGCAGTAAAAAGACATAAATTATGGATGCATACTGCAGCACGGTAAGCCCTGAAAACACTATCCTAAGAGAAAGAAGCCTGTCACCAAGGACCACATACTGTACGATTCCATGTAAATGAAATGTCCAGAGTAGGCAAATCTAGAGAGACAGAAACAGAAAGTACATAAGTGGTAACCTGTGGTTGGGAGGAATGGGAGGGTTAGGAACTAGCAGCTATGGGGTATGGAGATTTTTTTGGCAGGGGGGCGGGGAATGGGAATGTTCTAAAATTGATTATGATAATGGTTGAAAAACTCTCAATATAGTGAAAGCCATTGAATTATACACTTTAAATGGATGCATTGTATAGTATATTAATTAACTCTCAATGAAACTGTTAAAAAGTATAGCTAAATATATCAATTCCCTTTATTTAAAAGATCAAGAGATTTTCTCTAAAATTTTATTTTTCCTTTTCTATTTACATATTTTCATGAACTATTTCATAAATAGCTAACAGTATTGCTAGAAGGCCTTCTGGCTGACTGGGGATATTTTCTCTATCCAACAAAATAGACTTTAGCTTTTTCTGTAGTTTATTTTAATTATATCACAAATAACAAGTTTTATGATTGATTGAATGATGATTTTCCTTTACAGGGAATTAAACTCAAAGACCACCTTGAAATTTGTACATACATCTTTTCATGGGGTTGGACATGACTATGTGCAGTTGGCTTTTCAAGTGTTTGGTTTTAAACCTCCAATTCCAGTACCAGAACAAAAAGATCCTGATCCTGACTTTTCTACGGTTAAATGCCCAAATCCTGAAGAGGGAGAATCTGTGCTGGTATTTTTTCCTATATTTAAATTATTATTAGTGTATTAAACTTCATCAAATAGATGGAACTCACTGACAATTCAAAGATTACTTACAAAAGCAGAAAGCACTTTAGTTTACATCTTTTAAATTATATTGGAGCCATATATTGTTTTGTTTGAAATCTCCATGGTAGATATCCCTAATTCTAGGTTTATTTTAAATTTAGCTGAACTAAAATTCATAAATTCTAAAATTCATATCACTAACATAGTGCCTACATTTAGAAATATTGACATTTAATTTAATGTCTTAAATACAATCCAGCTTTTCGGGTCACTGTTTCAGGAACTTTCTTTGAGACTGGCAGAGAAAGAAAATGCCCGGATAGTGGTAGCCACAGATCCTGATGCAGACCGACTGGCAGTGGCAGAACTTCAGGAGAAGTCAGTAGAATCTGTTATTTGATTAAAAGCTTAAATCTTGAAAAACAATTTTTAAGTCTTACAGACTTGTTGGAAATGCTAAATAAATAAATAAATAAGAAATCTGTAAGCCCACTATCTAGGGATGATCACCTGGGTTGATTTTAACATTTCCTTTTTATGTTTTTTGTAATCAAATATTTAAGATATATTTGTTTTTACAAAATTGCAATCATACTATACAGGGTGGGACAAAAGTACGTTTACAGTTGTCTGTATGGAAGGTAAATCAATAATAAATAATACAAGAATAAATTCTATTTTGTGTGCTGACAACTGTAAACCTACTTTTGCCCCACCCTGTGTATCGATTTATCGATTACTTTTCACTTAATAGCGTACTGTGAGCATTTTCCCTGTTCTTAAATATTGTTTAACATATTAAATTTTTAAATGACATAATATTACAAAAGATTGCTTATCAATGTGATCATTTCCCAATCTTGGTCCTTTGAGTGGCTATGTATTTTTGCCATTATAATGTTATGACAACTGTCTACATGGAATAGACATCATATTTTTAACTCTTTTCTCATTAAGTAGAGTAATAAAAGTAACAGTTTTTCTAAAGACATTGCTACCGTATCTACCCTAAACTCACCCCTAGTTAGAAAAGCAATAGTAAATGTTTTCTTGAAAATTCCATACACTAGTTCTTATATTTTCCCATGTGAAGTATGATAATTTGTAGGTCTTTGGTCAAGAAGGTTTAATGAGAAATTATAAAGGTCTTGACTTGAATTTATTCTCTCTACAGTGGTCATTGGAAAGTTTTCACAGGGAATGAGTTGGCAGCTCTGTTTGGGTGGTGGATGTTTGATTGCTGGAAGAAAACTAAATCAAGAAATGCTGATGTGGAGAACATTTATATGTTAGCCACCACAGTCTCTTCCAAAATTTTGAAGGCAATTGCACTTAAAGAAGGATTTCATTTTGAAGTAAGAATACATAATATCTCTGTGCTACTTTTCTAAACCTATTTCTATAAATTCAAGCTGTCTGCCCATCAAAACTGACTTTTATTAATTTCATTTATAATTCCCACTTTTTATAATTTTGTTAACACTTAATCTTTTTGATGATTTAGACACTTGAGCCAAATTCATCCAGTGTGTGAATTTCTGAAACTAAGATAAAATGTTCTTTAAAAATTGTATTAATGCTTATTATTCCATACAGCAGTATCTGGTTTTCATATTGGGAAAATCTGGCTCCTGGGGAGCTCATCAGTAACATAAACTCCACTCCAAGAAGTAATAGGTATCATGGACCACTTGTTTAGGCTCTTCAAGTTAAGAAACTCTAAGTAGTCTTCGAAATTGCAAACTAAGATCTAATAATTCTACATCCAAAAAACAAATAATGCTTTTTTCAGCACTGATCATTAACCTTTGTGATCCTCAGGCAGTTAAACTGATGATTTTAACAGCGCCTGGGAATAATGTCAATTAAGATTTTCCTCTGCCATCTTTGCCTAGTATCAGTAAAAATGTCACCTTGGGGCATTTTTCTTGAGCCACAGTCAAGTTACAATTGTTAACATTAATTGGCTGAATAAAAGAAGATTGTACTTACTGAAATAGAGTTTTCAACCTCAGCTTTTCTAAAATATAAATAGCAAAATAGAAGAAATTGAAAATTTAAGGCTAAGATTCTGAATTACAGTAATATTAAATTAACATTCTTATAATTACTATTTATGTCAAGAAAATGTGTAATGAGCACAAAAGAGAAAAAAGAAATGATTCTGAAAACCAATATTATAAATTTACTTCCTTGCTTTTTTTGTTGGAAGTAGGGGTGGCTTATGGTTTTGGCTTTTATTTTTATTTTCCAAGGAGGAAATAGAGAGGTGAATTAGAACGGTGAGCTCTAGAGTCAGTGGGTATCACATGCTTTTTCTGTTGACTCTAAAACAGTTCCTGTCTATAAAGGGAACAATAGCTGGTCAGATGGAAAGTCCTGAAGTCTAATTACTAAGGAAGGGCATGGTGTTATGGTAAAGAATGTTTGGTTCAAGTATATGTTGTGATAATGTTGAATGTGCATCATTGAAAAGCTTTATGGCCTTTGATTACTCAAGGAACTAAACCACAATCTTCATAAATACTCTCATATTGATGCTTACTATATAGCTTAAAAAGGACAGTTTGTGAAATGCAGTGCAATTGAATCCTGCCTCCATCTCTTTTACTGAACCTCTGAGCCTGTTTTAGCAACAGAGTTTTTGTGAACATTAAAAATGATACTAGGCTCTGTCCAGTGTGGCTCAGTTGGTTCGAGCTTTGTCCCATGGCCAAAGGGTTGTGGGTATGATCACCAGTCTGGGAGTGTATGGGAGGCAACCAATCAATTCTCTCTCTTTTTCTCTCTCCCTGTCTCCCTTCCTGTGTCTCTAAAAGCAATGAAAAAGGTGTCCTTAGGCTAGAATTTAAAAAAAAATGATAATGGCTTTGGCCAGCTATCTCAGTTGGTTAGAGTATCATCCCAGTGTCCCAAGGTTATGGGTTCAATATCCAGTCAGGGCACATTCAAGAAACAACTAATAAATGCAGAAATAAGAGGAACAACAAATTGATGTTTCTTTCTCTCTCCCTCCCCTCCAAAAATCAGTAAATAAATTTTTAAAAATGATAATGGTATAAGCACTTGTTATACTTGTTATACAAATAGTAGATGATCATAATATGTTACTTTGTGAATATATGCATCACCACTTGTAAATATTGGATTATATTTGGTGTAAATCACCTATTACTGTACTTCATAAATAGGTCATTGGTCCCGGCAGTATGTGTATTCGTGCACTTTATATGTTTACCATCGTATAAATCTTTGTGGATGAAAAACCATAACAGAAACTCACTATGATATTTTTATGTAGTGCATTTAGTGGCAGGCTTTTCTCTAATATGTATTTATGAGAGAGTCACTTAACAAGAGTGGCCTCCTCTGCATTTCAGGAAACATTACCAGGTTTTAAATGGATTGGAAGTAGGATAAAAGACCTCCTGGAAAATGGCAAAGAAGTCCTTTTTGCATTTGAAGAGTCTATTGGTATGTAGTAAATGTTAAAATCTTTGAAATTTGAATGAGAGCATTTTTTAAAAACATAGTAATTCTATAGAGAGGAATTTTTGTCTTCTGGTTCTGTATTCTGAGTCGAGGTAAAAACCACAGAGCTTTCAGAAACGTATAGATTCATTTCTCTTCAGAAATAAAATACTCAGAAGTCCCCTAAATTCCTTCAGTCTCAGTGGCTTTCATTTATTACCAGGCTTTTAATTCATTGGTCCTTCTGGAGAAATGTAAAGCTATTGAAATTATTGCAGGCTTACATTTTCTTCTTCTTTAATTCTCAGGTTTTCTGTGTGGAACTGCAGTTCTGGATAAAGATGGGGTGAGTGCAGCCGTTGTTGTTGCTGAGATGGCATCTTACCTGGAAACCATGAATATAACATTGAAACAGCAACTGATTAAAGTTTATGAAAAGTAAGTCCCACTAAATTTGTTTTTGAGAACTAGTCAGTCCTTTTGAAAAAGTACTAAAATTGTCTGAATTAAGGACTGCCACTTTCCACATAATTCTATAAGTGGCTTATCTGTAATACATACTTTTCTAAAGTTATCTGAAATCTGATTTGACCTCTTTAAATCTTTGTGCAGGTATGGTTATCATATGTCAAAAACTTCATATTTCTTGTGTTATGATCCAACTACCATCAAAAGTATATTTGAAAGGCTTCGCAATTTTGATTCTCCAAAAGAATATCCAAAATTTTGTGGGACATTTGCTATATTGCATGTACGAGACATTACCACTGGATATGACAGCAGTCAGCCTAATAAAAAATCAGTAAGTATTTTTTTAAAGGGTTTTTTAACAGTTTTTATTTTACTTTTTTTAAAGATTTTATTTATTTTTAGAGAGAGGGGAAGGGAAGGAGAAAGAAAGGAAGAGAAGCATCAATGAATGGTTATTTGTTGCGTGCCCCCTTACTGGGGACCTGGCCTGTAACCCAGGCATGTGCCCTGACTGGGAATCGAACCAGTGATGCTTTGGTTCACAGGCCCGTGCTCAATCCACTGAGCCACATCAGCCAGGGCTTTTTAAACAGTTTTTAATAATTCATACTATGGTGAAATAAAGGAAGTTCAAGTCTATTAGTTTCTTGAAACTAGGACCCATTGTTTTTCTCCAGAGCTGTTGTAAGTCCACTAACTGGCTCTCTGACTCTGATTCTGTCTTATCACTCCTCAAGTGAATGCTACCGACTGAGGGTAGAGAGGTGAGAAAAAGAATGAGAAAGGCAGACAGAAAGAAAAAGAGAAGCGGGGAGGGAGAATGTGTGATGATGCTAAGTAAATAATGTGGCCTTTTTTAGATTTTTTATTTCATTTATTTTTTAAAGAGAAGGGAAAGGAGGGAGGGAAACATCAATCAGTTGCCTCTGACACACATGCCAGGTGGGACTGGGCCACAACCCAGGCAAGTGCCCTGACCGGGAATGTAACTGGCGACCCTTTGCTTTGTAGGACGATGCCCAACCAAGTCACACCAATCAGAGCTAAATAAATAATGTTGAAAATAAAGCCTAAAAGCCTGTAATTTTGAAGCTACACATATTTCTAGTTGTAATCTCCCTTCTCCTATACCTCTAGCCAACTTTATTCTCTAGACCTCCAGCCAAATAGAACAACTTATAGTTTCGTGTGTGTGTGTATTTTTTTTTTAAATTTCTTTAGTTTTGCTCAAAGTATTTCCTCAGTCTACTTTTTCTCCCTACTGTTGGAGGTCCACACCGTAGCCATTATTCAAGACTTAAGGCAAATGTCACCTCCTCCACCTATCCTCCAGGTCCCATAAGCAGATTATCTTTCTCCTGAGTTTTCATTACATATTGTGGCTTCCTCCTGTCACTCATCACTTTCTATCTCATGTTATCTGTGTTGTATGTGGCATATCCTTTTCTGATATATGTACCGTTATGCCTCTCAAGTGTCCTGCCAACATGGTAGGTGCTCAACAAATGTCTGAATGCCGTGCACTGCTGATCATTTTTAGCCTAAATTGTCATTAATAACATCCTGATGTTGACTCAGGATTCTAGGGCATGATATGTTTGGAAAAATCTGTAGCCTCCCATGGAGAATACTATCCACATTCCCTTTGTGTATATTCATCCAGTCAACAAATGTTAGTTCCCAGTCATTAGTATTCAGTCCAAATATGTGTGTGTCTATTTTGTGTCTTTGTGAACTACTTGAAGAAAAGAACCAATTTTTTTTGCCTCTTTTATTTTTCTGTTGTTGCTGTGCTTAGAGTAGTTCTTGCATTATGCTTTTCCCCCTTCTTAACTCCCTTTAAAGTGTACATTTGTCATTCAAAGGGCTTTTCTGTCTTCTTCACTGATGCTCAAAACAGTTCTGTAAGGCAGGTTGTATAGATATAGTTAATCCCCTAAGGGCATATAGTAAGTGTCAAACACTTCCTGAGTTCTTTCTCTCCACACTTCAGAGTGACACTCATCTGTGTGTTCAGCAGGCATTTATCAAAATGCTTCTGCACTTCAGGCCCAGGCCCAGGCCCACTGGGGATACAGCAGTGACAAGGCACTGTTTCTGCACTCGAGAGTCCAGTGGGGAAATGAACAAGTAAACAGTGATTACTTTACAAAATGATAAGTGCTACCACGAGGTGCATAGGGTGTCATGGAAGGGCATAGGAAGGGCCCTTACTCAGATTCAGGGGGCCCACTGAGTTCCAGAGTAGGAGGAGGAGTTACTCAGACATAGGAGGAACAGAGGGCGTTTCGGGTGAAGGGAGCAACAAGTGCCAGGTCTGGAGGTGAGGAGACACGTTCCCATTTAAAGAACCACAGGTCGTTCTCTAGAGTGTGGGGTGTGAGAAGAACAGCACGTGTGGATCAGTTAGTGTGCTGTTTCATAACTGAGACGAGAGGTGACGGGAGCCAGAACTTAATATCGTAGCAGTGGCGACGGAGAAAACTGGACAAAGTTCGGTTAAGTCAAGGATAGAATAGACAGGACTTGCTAGTTGATGTTCTATGAATAAAAAGTCGGGGAGGAAGTTATGTCTTAAGCAACTAGAATATGGTAGTGGCACTGACCGAGAGAGGGACCTCAAGGCGAGGGCCAGGCTCAGGACACCTGAGGAAAGGCACCACTGTCATCCCCTCTGTTTCTGTTAAAACCCCACAGCTCCCTTGAGGTGCCTTCAAAGACTGACCCGTGGTCTGGGAAGAGTACCAGTGTTAGTCCCTATTTTTACTGTCAGTAAAGCTTCATTTCTTCTTTTTAAAAATCTTTAGGTAAAATATATTTAAAACATTTTTGCACCCCAGTGAATTATTTTGGCTATCTTTCAGGATATGTGCACTCTGTTTTGGTGACACATGTCACATGCATTTTGCCATGTATAATATGCGCTTTTTTTGCTCAAATTTTTGAGGGAAAAATAAGGGTGGACATTATGCACAGGTATAATGATTGCATACCATGGGTATAATATAATCCCATGTATAATGTGCTTAAAACCGTGGATGCGCATTATACATGGGAACACATTAGACACAGCAAAATACAGGAAGTACTTTAAAATTACAAAGCACTTTGCAAATGTAGGAGCAGTGTAAACTTTGATACAGGTAGACCTGGCTTCAGCTTCTTGCTCTGCCACTTAGCTGATGATGACCTTGAGCAGGCCGTTTATACTCTCTTTGAGCCTTGCCTGTAAATTGGCAGTAATATCTACTTTGTAGGATTGTTGTTGAGGCCCAGAGATCATGTGTGGAAGGTATGTAACCCAGTGCACGTACTATTATAATGTTCAGTAAGCGGTATGTATATTTGTGAATTATGTATATAACCTTCTTTTGTCTTTTATAATTCTTTAAAAAAATTTATTTTTAATTGTGGTAAACAATTAAAAATGAAACATAGAATTACCAACTTAACCATTTTCAAGCATACAGCTCAGCAGCATTTACTGCGTTCACACTGTTGTGCAGACCTCCAGAACGTTTTCATCGTGCTAAATAAACTGAAGCCCAGTACTCATGAAACAACTCCCCATTTGCCCCTTCCTTCAGCCCTTGGCAGCCACCCTTTTACTTTCTGTTTCTGTGAATTTGGCTACTTTAGATACTGCATATAATGTAATATATCTTAAAACTCTTGAAAGTGAAAAAGTTACCAGGTGTGATTAAGCTGTTATTACAATTGTGCATAGGTGCTGCCTGTGAGTAAAAACAGCCAGATGATTACATTTACTTTTCAAAATGGCTGTGTTGCTACTCTTCGGACAAGTGGGACAGAACCAAAGATAAAGTATTATGCAGAAATGTGCGCATCACCTGACCAGAGGTGAGAATCCACTTTTTAGATATAATATGTAAAAGTTTTAGTAAGATATAATTTATGTACTAAAGAATTTGCCCATTAAAGTGTATAATTCAGTTGTTTTTAGTGTGTTCAGAGTTGTGCAAGCACCACTACAATCAATTTTAGAACATTTTCATCACCTCAAAAGGAAACCCCATACCCATTAGCAGTCACCTCCCTTTTCCCTCCCTCTCAGCCCTAGGCAGCCGCCAAGCTGCTCTCTGCCATTATCGATTTGCTGCATATTCTGAACATTTCATGGGCATGAAATTATACAATATGTGGTCCTTGGTGGCTGGCATCTTTTACTTAGCATGTTTTCAGCATGCATGCTGTAGCATGGATCAGTACTTTATTCCTTTCTTTTAAAAAATTGTTTTCATGGCCCAATATTGTTCCATTGTGTGGATAAACCACATTATTATCCATTTATCAGGTGATGAACACGTGGGTTATTTCCACATTTGGGCCATTATGAATAATGGTGCTACAAAATGTTTGTACACAAGTTTCTATGTGAACGTATGTTTTCATCTCTCTTGGGTACGTATCTAGGAATAGAATTGTGGGTCATGTGGTAGTTCTGTATTCAACTTTATGAGAAACTGCCAAACAATTTTCAAAGCAGCTGTACCATTTGGGAATTGAATTTTAAAATTTTGGTAAGTTTCTGGTCTCTGAGATTTAATGATGAACATAAAGAAGTGATCAACAAATAATGTGTTTATTGCCAAATACCCATTTTCTACATTTAATATGATATGACTTAATCTGCCCAATTTATTTCCTTTTAAGAGCATGTGAATAAATAACTTCACTTTAATGAACATATTCAAAGGTTATTCAAACTTATTAAAAGTAGTACCTCCTATAGTGTTATCATTGATTAATATATTTTGGGGAAGATTTTTTGGAATTGCCTCCAAAGTACAGTATTTTGGAATTTTCTCCATCTTTGCATTTTCTTTGGGGGTGGGGGGAAGAGCAGAGTTGAAAGTAAACCAAATTGGGTAATGCTATATTTGGTTTAAAATAAAGGATGACTATAAAAGTAATAAAAACTAATTTGTTGGATAGCATGTAAAATAACTGAAGGCAGTTTAAAAGAGACTTTTCTGGAAATGTTTTGAGCAACAACAGCTCTTCAGGTGATGACTTTGAAGAGCATACTAGTCAGTGTACATTGATTTTTTTAAACATCTCATTCCTTTAGTCACACTTTGCTACCTGAAAGACATGCCATTGCATCCCATAATATCTGCACAAGTATGTCAGGAATCCATTTTCTCATAATACCTGGTATTGCTGTTCTGAGTCATTAAGTCACCTCACCCAGGAGAAATCTTTAGGAATACTGTAACTTGTCCGTGTATCATGCACCGAGGATCTCCTCTTAATGCATTTCAACTTCAGTTTGTGCTATTTCTTTGTGTGATTCTTCCTGTTTTGGCCTTGTTTTAACTGAGTGAATTTCTCTTTTGTTTACCAATTGTTTAATCATTTCATCAAGTATATGCCTTCTTTAAAAGTTATAACAATTAAAATTTTAAGGCTATGAAAATCAAGACTTTTAAAACTCTAAAACTTTTTCCTCAGTGACACCACCTTACTAGAAGAAGAACTGAAGAAACTCATTGAAGCTCTGATTGAGAATTTTCTTGAGCCCAGTAAAAATGGGCTGATCTGGCGTTCCGCTTAATGGATGTTGGTCCATCACGACTCTGCTGGCAGACGAACAGGACAGCCGGGATCTCCAGGCACCGAACTCGTGTTAGCGTTCTCCCTCTCTCTCATCTGGCCGAGTATCTGTTTCCTTTTCTTTTCTTTCTTTTTGGTTGGCTGACTAAACAAACTGTATAACTTTAAAATGAAATGGTCTAGAGAAAAAATAAGTCAAATTTTTTCATATTCTTGAACAAAAGTATTACATTAAAAGTGTTATAATAACACATCATTCTTCCTTTAATGGAAACAAAGCAGTGCAAAAGTGAGAGTTCTTGTTGAAGTGTGATTAAGTAAGCTTAGTTCCATATTCTTGTAATTGTGTATAGCATGGATTTTAAAATAGGCAGTTAAATGTTATATAATTGTAGAATTAGTTAAAGAAATAATTTGATAAAACTGGCAAGAAAACAGCACTATTCTCAGAATACTATGGAAAAGTGTCAGTGTTACATCATAGGTATTGACTTACAAATTAGAGTATTTGAAATAGGACATTTAGTATTTCTAGCTTAGAACAGATGTTGCAAATGTGGTTCATAGCTCTTCGGTTTTAGGTGCTGTTGGTGCAGTGTAAATTTATTGAATGTATTTGAAATTCCAACGTGTACGGAACATAAAACAATAGTGGCAACACTCCTAGAAGCTTTGTCCTTGTCAAATTTCTCAGTGCCTTCTCTTGGTACAGTATAAGTTGAAACAGTGTTCCTGTATTGAATATCATTTAGTCAGTTAATTTTCAGGCAGTTAAGGAAAATCTTCCAAACTATATGGGTGCTTTTCCTCTGTATTAATAGGTTTGCTGACTTTAAAATCTTATGAATGTATATAAAAATCTTAATAAACGCAGCCTCAGTGTAACTGTAATTAGGCCGCTTCATGTTAGAATTGAGGGTCAGTTATCACAGCCTTTGAGTAAAGAAAAAAATCTGAACTGAGACTGGAGCTCTGAATGTATTTAAAAGTCTAACTTCTGAATTACATTTTTATAAGTAGATTTATTCCTTGATCAGATGAAGTAATGCTAATTTTACTAAGAAATAAAACATTCAGATTTTAGGTATTATGAACACTAAAACTACAGTCCAGTTTATCCTAACATCTTGCTGGCTTCTGTAGAATTTCTGATCACAAGAGTAACTATTTATCTTTTCTAATGTGGAAAAAAAATGGAAGGGCAATTGTTGACTCTGCAGTCTCCTAAAAATGGCAGTGGAGAAGCTCTGTTCAACCTTCTCAAAGTATATCCTGTTGTGTGTAGCTCACAGAATACGTCAATACATGTGGTATAGCTAACAGGTAACAATAACAAGGCCTTGAGCATAATTATCTAAACAAATTGCCTACAGACAATAACTGGTGAGAATGTATTTCCTAAAAAAATTTCTTTAAAAAATGATGACATAAAATTTGAACTGATTGACATACTTGTTAAACCATGGTTTGGTTTGTTGTAGCTGTTGGCTAACATTTGGTTGAACCCATATAATCCACATATAATTTTCAAATTATTGTATTGCCACTATTGTTAATTTGTTCCTTTCTTACTTTCCTATATTGGGATCTTGTGTGACTGTAGATATAGACAGCTAACTAACTGTAGAGCACTGTATTGCTAAATGAGTTTGTTTTCAAAGGCTTTGCACTCAAAAAGAAATGTAGAATTTTTTTTGCTTTATTTGCTTTTAGGGATATGTAGACTGTACTTTAGGAAATGGCCTATATTCTACAAAGTGGTATGAGCAATGCTATATATATGGAAAATATGTATATTTGGTTTGTGTCTGTTTTTCATTGACTGAAGAACAAAGTGGAGCTAAAATGATACAATAGCCCATTTATGATCCCTCAAGCCATGTTATGATTGTCATTCTGTTATAAAGAGAACAGCTTTATTTGAGTGCTTTAATGTAATGCAACATTTAAGTCATCTTAATCAAGGTGAAAAGTTATTAAAGTGTGGATTCTTATCTCAAGAATTTAAAAATCCAAAGTTAAAATTAACAGAATTTTACGAGTATTCCCAAAGTGTATTAATTGAGGGAATTATTTAATTCTAGCCAAGCTCTCAAGTCTGTCTGAGTGTGATATATAACATGAACTCAACATAGTGGGCGTACATTTGCCTAACAGGATAATTCAGTAGCCCACGCCAACCAGGACAAACGGAAGTGCTGCCCAGTAGGCCGCAGCCTGGGGCTGTGCAGTGTTTACCTTTTTTATTTATGAACAGTAGCATGGAAATTGATGTATTCTCACTGAGTGTGCAGGTCAAAACTGGGCTTCGCTAGAGCTCTGGGGAAAAGGAAAGAATCAGGCAAGATTAAAGTATAGGTTAGAAATAAACAGTAGAAATAAGCAACAATAGAAGGGTCAATAAAGGTAGCACAGGAAATACTTTTTGTCAGGGGCAAACTTATCACCCTAAAAATAAGGAATAAACTGTGAGCAAGTTGTTTAGTTGTGTATATTTGTTGTGATGATGAGTGATTAGCGAACCTTTCGATTTCTTTTATTAGTGACCATTGAAGAGGCCAAGTTGTAAGACATGAGAAAAAGTACCCCTCTGACTGATTCAGTTTCTAGGATGTTGTTGTTTCCTAGGATCACAGGGGACTGGGAAGAGGATACAGCCAAAATAAAAAGGAATAAAGTAGAGATGAAAATAAAACCTGTGAGAAAAGCAAAAAAATTAAGATCATTTAACTCTCGAGAGGAGAAAGCTGTTGAGATAGTTTTAAGCTATTGGGTTGTTTATTGAACAGCTTAAACTAAGAAGCAATGTGATAAACTATTCTCCATCTCCAGCAAGGATGAAACAGGAGGGAATAAGAAACTTAAAAAAAAAAAAAAAAAAAAAAAGACAACATGAATCGTCTAAGATTTAAAAACTTGAGCAGGAATCATTATGAAGCCTTCTATTTGAATTTTTTTAAGAGAATAAAAAATTTTAATAGGGATATCCTAAATGGCTTTTACAGATTCCTTCTAAACCTTTTTTTAAAAACTCAGGTTGGAACAAAGATGTCATAAAGAGCACTGAAAGTAACATTTGAATTTCACTCCATATCTGTAAGAATTTAGCTCACAGAAGAGATTCTTTTTAATATGTTGAATGGTAAATGCATGAGTGCAGTAAGTAAAGAACTGCTTCGATGTTATTTTTAATTTAATCTGGCAAATTAAGTGAGACTTGAACACAATTTTGTTTATCTTGAAGAATGTATAGCATTATAGGATATTTGAGGAGTTTGTTTTAAATATTGAGTATTGTTTGGATGTAGTAACTTCAGCAGAGAGTTTCTAAGAAATTGGATACTTTGGAATATCTTTATATAAGAAATAGAACTCCTGTTTCATAAAAAGATTGCTTCTGGAATTGATGCTATTAGCTGGAGTTTAATGGAGCAATTGTTCTATGAGCTGCTGCTGTTGGTATTTCTCTCAGATCTTTTCCATTGTTGTTCGTGATGCTTGAAAAATCCAAATTCAGCTTGGAGAAATTTAATGTTATGCCCTTTTTTCTCTACCTCCCTCTTTCCCTATATGCCCTCCCACATTTTGTTACTGTGAAGTGATTGCCCTGTTACCTCGCTGATCAATCCTAACTGTATCCTTCAGAGTGCTTTAAACTTATTCATAACCTAAGTTGGTTTGTGGACTTTTGGGTATTTTGTTATTGTAAGAATAAGACATTGTAAGAAGTAATTTTAAATCTGTTTCATAATTTTTTGTGGTCTGTCTGGATACTATATATATGTTAATTTATTTTGGCCTTTTACAATTCACTTGTTTTCTAAGATTGCTCTAAAAACTGATGGGGAAAGAATCATACTAACCAAAATGAATGGTCAGTTGAGCTAGCATTTTCTTTTCAGTTTCCTTGTGCTTTGGGCAACCAAAGCACAAGATTTGAGGAAATACTTTTTTGTATTTGTGCCTCAAAGTGTCTTACCATAAGCCATAAGGGGTCTGAATAGAAAGAGAATCTCTCATTGTCTCATTACACAGCATGACTTTAGTGCTAGTTGGAAACAAAGTTATCATTACCTTTGGCTACTTTAAAATATTCATCATAATGTTATATTCATTAAGCCCTCTTTTCTCTTTATTAATTAAAGACTATGTACTTAAAAAAGAGAACATGCAAGAATGAGTAAAGCAACCAAGGTAAGGGCAAAGTGACATAGCTGAAGTTTGCTTCTCAATTTTTCCCAGCAGCATGACCCTCGAACAGGATGTGTCGGGGAAGAGGCCTTCTGAAAGCAAAGTCGGAAGCAGCCTACCACTCATGAAATTTCATGTTGCATCTCAAAAATTAAGTAGAGTTTGCATTCTCCATAATAAGACTGTGCTGATATAAAAATTATTCCTTCAATCTTCACCAAAACTGGTGCTGCCAGAAAGGAGCACCGTGTTTATCATGTGGCCTCTCAGTTTTCTCCCCAAAACCCCGCTTTGATTGCTGCATATCCCTGGGCGCACACACACACTGACTCCAGTGTGAGAAACAGAACATATCTAGGATATTCCCTGCCCTTTGGAAGCTGACCTTTGAAAGGCCAAGTTTAACTGACCTGAAACAAATATGTTACCAATGAATCTTATAATATAGTTGCGGTTTTAGCCAATTTGTTCTCTTTAATTTATTGACATTCTTTGACTAAGATCCTTCTTGACTATCAGCTTCCTTTATTATTTTTTCATATCCACACCACCTAGTACAGTACCTTTTATAAAATGCTTCACTGATGATAATAGTAATTAAGGGATTATGTTTTAAAGAAGCAAAGCATTTAAGAACAGTCAAAAATATAATTGTCTAATTCAGCTTTTAAAACAATTCTTATTGAAATTTATAATAAGTAATGTTTATTAAGCACACACACCCGTAAATATTCAGTTTCTTTGGAGGAAGAAATTTCCTATTTGGAAATTATGTGTAACACCTAGTATTTTACACTCAAAGCAAGGTATTGGCCAAGAGGCTAAGAAAGTGTCTATGAAGACTTAACATCATTAATATAAGTGCCATTTTGAGTCTCCTAGTGCTACCTTCCAATAGTAACAACTAACTTGATACTATTTGGTATATTGTTGTTAGGTGTTAAGGTTCAGCATATATCTTACAAGAGCCACTCAAGCAAGAATATGAATCTATACATGGTGAGGCCTTCTTCTTATAGGCTAATAAACTCTTCGTGTACATTATTGAATATGCCAGGTAAAATACATGCAGTTAAGAATTATTTGGTTTTCTGACTGTGTAGCAGCAGTTCAAAATTGTGCCCTTGTTTTAACAGTTTCTGTCAATATCTTCCCATTTTTCCCTAAGAAAACACCAGGGTGTATCATAAATACTGCCTGTGAGAATTTGCACTTTAAGTATTTGTGTGTGGATTTCTTGTGGTTTTAGCCAAATGTTATCAATAATAAACAGGTCTCTTCATAAGCATGAATTTTTGTGTAATTTTTATATCTTAGACACTGTGTAGTTCATAAAGATTGCTACCCAAACTAAATACATTTTTAAAATATACGTGTGGCATACCCTAGAATCTACATTGAGCCTAAATAAATATTTTAGTTCTTTATTCAGTAAGTATTTTTTGATTGGTTCATCAGAAGTCCCAGAAAAAAGAGTCAATATTTAAGTCCTGCCCATCTTATTTTTCTTTCTCTCTTTCAGTTGACCTAATTTGTCCATCTTAGCATCTGCTAACATAATATTGTTGTTCATCGGACACAAATAAGTGAACAAATAAATGTAAGTAGTACTGAAACAGGACAGTAAGAAGCTAGGAAAGTTTTTTGGCAAGTGGAACAGAGAAACTGAAACAGATAGCTGAACAAACTGGCTGAGCAATTTACAGCCACATAGAAAAGGTCACCTTCCCAGAGATAACATCTGGCCTCAGTTGTGTTTCAGCTCCAGGCCCAGAAGAGCAGCAAAGCCAGGCAGGAGACTACCAACTGCAATGACTAAAGACCCCCTGCCCTGTCACTGACCGATCCGTGGAGACCATGACCCTGAAAGGGCGCACCTGGAGACCTGAGGAACATTCTGCTGGACCGCTCCCCTGACGCCCACCCTAAGATTCTTCCCTACAAGACAGACAGAAAAGCCTCAAGACAAAGAAACCAGCTCTCTCGCTCTCCTTCTGGGGAGCAGCCCCCTTCTTTCTTCACCAGCACATGTCTCCTAAATTCTAGCAGGAGTGGCCAGCCTTTTGGCATCTCTGGGCCACACTGGAAGAGGAGTTGTCTTGTGCCACACATTAAATACACAAACACTAACAAAAACTGACAAGCAAAAAAAAAGTTTTTAAGTAAATTTACGATTTTGTGTTGGGCCTCATTCATAGCCACCCTGGGCCGCATGTGGCCCACGGGCCGCAGGTTGGACACCCCTGCGAGGCAATGGGTAGCTGGGAGGTTATCCCAGGGTATCCCTTGAACCTGTCCCCAAGGCCCCCTTTTCTCTGACTTCCCAGTGAGCTAAGGCTGTCCAGCCAAGGCTCTCCTGTTGCTTCTTCTATGCTAAGCCCTTCCTTGTTTTACTGTCCCCAGCTTTAATAAGTGGACCCTCGTAGTCACCTGGACTCATGTTGTGAAATCTTTCCTATGAGAAGTCAGGAACCCACACACTACAGCTGACGTTGGCAAACCCGCTCAGGGGCAGACCCCTGTCCGGTAACAGTATTAGGTGTCTCCATGGTTTCCATGAGTGTAGGTTTTTCGCTACTTTAATACTGCCGAGAATAATAGTGCATGGCGCAGAGCAGGTGCCTAGTAAATATTTATTGAATGAATGAATTCATGTTTCTGTCTGCAGAAGAATAACAATTCTTGATTCTGCGTATGCACAGAGTGGCACATGATGAAAAGCAAACAGTAGGGATAGTACCAGCTTTAGAACTTTATAATCCCATTAATCAACAGGTCACCCAGGCATTAGCTACTGCTTGCTGCCTCAGGGTCATCTCTACCCCTGTCCTTTTCTTAGTGGCTTTGTATCCTCCTGGTTTGTAGCCTCCGAGTCATCTCCGATTTCTCCTGCCGTTGGATGTGTACTATTTGAGTTCTTCAACAGCCTCGGAGGGTAATGGCAAGGCCCCTGGCCTGAGGCCCATCTAAACAGGAACCAGGAAGCTAACTCAACCTAAAATAAAAGAACTGATATCATCCCCAAAGGAGAAGAGTTGATGTGTATATAAATGGAGATGTCTTGGAGGAGGAATTACAATAGAACTTCACCATTCTTCTCTCTTCCCTCCCTAAATTGGCACTTCCTCATTTCTCTTAGTGCTTATCTTTATTTCCCTCCTCTTTCCCTCTGGTTCTGATCATTAAATGTTCCAACCTTGCATGTAATTTGCTTTAAGTTTAGTCTTTGACCTTTATCCCTGTGCTTCACTCATTCATTTTATAAATATTTATTGGCTTAGAAATGCGTAGGTACCCAGGGTACTCCAAAAGGCTAGTAGTAAGTAGGAAAAAAAGATGCAGCAAACATGTTATTGCTGGAACAGCCTGTTCAGGACAACCTTCTCACTGCTGCGGCACCACCAGATAAATCTCCTTTATTCCTCATGTGGTTGGATTCAAAGTACCTGGAGTGAAGGCCCAGTTGGCTGGTCTGTTGTCACCTGTCTGCCTCCCAGCTAGAACTGGAGACTGACAGGGAAGGACTTAACCCCTCAGCTTCCTTCTGAATGGCATGGGAGGCAGGCCACGGCAGTTACCCTTGCATCAAGACTCAGAACTAATTTACCAATTGGAAATTACGGTGCAGGCAGAAGGTGACAAACATCTGATGGGGGACTCAAATGTTGAAAAAATTTTAGCTTCAGGTAATAGCTACCTAGTAATCAATGTATGTAAAAAGCTATTGTTTCAGGAACTAAAGGTGTGACCCACCTGTAACAGGGTGCAGCTTGGCGCCCCCAAAGGGGATTTGTAACGGGATCCAGAGCTTGGGGTGTCTAAAAAATATATAGGATATTCTTCCCCCCACCCCGCCCCACCCCCCTGCAAAGCAGGCTTCCATGGGGGATGGGAGACACGGAGCAGGGCCCCTGAGAGTCATTTTGCATGTATAACAGCGGGATAGCTTCATACCTCATATGCAAAGATGGTGACTTTGCATATCTACAAGGCTAACCAGGAAGGTTTGTATAACTTAAACCCAGGATGTAACTGGGCAGCTCCTCCCCCGGTTACAGCACATGTGCATGAGAGCTCAGATGGTTTGCTCCACACCATGAGGGAACAATGCAAAGATCATGTGGCAAGGAATGGGGAGAAAGGACTCTTGCTAGTGGGTCCTGAGAAGGTGCCATGTGGGTTTGGATTAAGAACTGGAGATCGCAGCGGGCAACACAGCTGATGGTGCTGGGAACTGTGAGAGGCCTGACCTGCCTGGCCGATCTACAGACTTTTGTTCTTTTCTTCATAAGGACGTACCCCTGACTGGCCTAATTGGCCTACCTGGCCTGACGGGGCAAAGGGGGTGGGGCGGGGGTGTGGAAGGCAGGACTGTGTGTGTTGGTGGGTGCTTTAAAGGGATTTTGAGATTTAACGGTGACATTTAACCATTATTCAAAAGCTGTATAACTTTTGAATAAGTAGTTCCTTTCCTTTTCACCAAACTCTGCCATTGAGAGCCATAATTTTTAAGGACAGTGGGCAAAGAACCTAGAACAGAGGGACCCCAGGGGAGGGAGGTGGTTGTTTCAATAACAGTATCTGCCCCTCACCTCCAAACAGCTCCACATTCAGTAATACACCTGGGCTCCAGGAGCCCATAAGCAACTCCACCTTTGTGCCTCAGGAGACCTGCAAGCAATCAGGATGGCATCTGAGCCACTGTACTCCAGAGTAAGACATCCACCGCCCAGGGCACAGATGAAAGAATGCTGCAGCTTTCATCTGATTAACTTTTTTCCCTGAGTTCCAACCGCCTTACCTACACTTTTCTTCTCCTTATAAAAAGGGTCGGTTTAAAATGGAATTTAAGATGGTCTGTTAGGGTACAAACCCACCATCTTCTCAGATCTCCAGGCATTGAATAAAGCACCCACAAAGATTCAATCCCTGCCTCTGCTTATTGGGTCTGGTACGAGCAAGGCAGCACAAATTCTCTGGTTTCACATGCACTACAGTGCCAGAACAGTTTTGGCAAAGTGTTGGAGAAGAACAGCTAGGCAAAGGAAGAGGGGAGGACACCTGCAGCAGAGCACAGCATGAGTGTGCAGAGAACCGCCAGTGGTTTAGTGTTGCTTTGTTTTGGGTAAGGATGCGAGTGGAGACAGGGGAGAGGGAGAGCCCTGTGTGCTATGTTGTGGAGCTTAGATAGGCTTCAATCAGCAGGCGATGAAGGTTCACACAGAAGGTCCTAAAGAGATGGTGGTGAGGGTGGGGGGAGATGGTAGGAGAGAATCCAGCACTGAAAGAACCTGAAAGGTCATCTTGTCCAACTCTCATCATTTTTTACATACCAAACAGGCTTATATATTGGAAACTCCAGTGACAACCTGCCGTGACAAGTTGATCTCTTTTAAAGAAAGACCAGTAGAGAGTTCTTGTGTTCGGCTGAAATCTGCCTCCAGCGGCATCTACCCTTTGGTTGCACTTGGAAATTCAGTGTTACACAAAAGTCCATTTTCTTTTCATTCAAAAAAAATTCCCCTCAGTCTCAGTATGGATAATTCAGTACCGTTCCTTGTGTGGCCAGTTTTTGGTCCCCCTCACCTTCCTGATTGCCCCATGCACAGCTTTCAAAGAGCCGGATCCAGAATTAATATGATGCCCTAGAAATGGGACACTAGCCCACCCAGAGTAGCAAAAGGTGGGATTTCCACCTGTCCTGGGGGTAGCACAACAAACAGCACAGAGGGGCTCTGCCTGCAGCTTGCTCCTAGACGTCTCTCCACTTTGCAAACAACTCCTTTAACCCTCAACTCAAGCATCATCCCTTCCAAAAAACCTTGCCTGCCTGTCCTCCTGCCCCCACCCCACCAAACAAATGTCGTCAATGAGTTTGGGTCCTTGTCTTCTGATATAAAAGAATTTAGACCAGGGACACTGATAAAGGCAAAGGCAGATTTATCGAGGCCCTGCAGAGGGTGAGAACACTGAGACAGGGTCCCAGGTTCTGTACCCTGAATGTGGGGCTTAGGGGATTTTATGGCTTAGGAACACGGAAGTTGTTGGGGTGAACCAATCAGCGTGCAGGTTAGCTGGCTTCTCCTTTTTTGGAACACGGATGTCCAGGTATACGTCAGGGAACTGAAGCATTCTGGGATTGTGCAGCACTTACTATGGGATGCAGAAAGTGACTTTCCTAACCAGGTATTGAGTTTGTCTCTGTGGTTGGTGACTTGGCTTTAGATCTGAAAACCAAACTTAAAAGAAGTCAGGGTAGTTTCTGGACCATTGTTTTTAGCTACCTAATGGTGACTGCCACAGTTCTGCCAGGGCTCAACTTGACAGAGCAATTTGTTCTGGTAGGGCTTGACTCAATGAGCAATTTTGGAGAACATTTTATTCTAAATGTTTCACAAATAGGGCAGGGATTCCCACACTGTGCTGCCATAGCTCCCTTTGCCGACCTCTGAGACAGC